CGCAAGAAGGCGCAGCATGGGATGGGACCGTGGGGGGGCGCAGGGAGGGGGTTAGGGGCCGGCCCGCCCGGCTGGGTTGGGACTGGCCCGCCACGCCACGCCACGCCCGCCGCGCCGCGCCACGCCGCGGGGTGGTTGCCGGCGTTGCCAGACTGCGGGGCGCCGTGCGCGAACGCGGGCAAACGCCGGGCCCTGAATGGCGCGCTGCCTTCTCTGTGACGGACACGCGCTCCCCCGCACTCGTGTGTACGCACACACGAGTAACGCTTTCACTCACTCACTCACTTGTTGCCGTTTCTCTGAGTGGATTTTGGCTCTTTTCCGCCTCCCAAAAAAACCAGTTCGTAATTTGCGAACTATTTCTTCGTATAACAAAGTATATTAGTTTGTATAATGTATGCTCACTTCGTAAGGTTTTAAGCGTGTGCTGCGAGTGGCAAAAAATCGCAAATAAAAAGGGTTGAAGAGCGAGAGTTTTAAATAGCCTTCGTTCTTTCAAGTTTTTTGGACTGTTTGGGAACGGATCTGCCTTTATGGAAGTCGACGTCTGATGATTTCCCTCCTCGCGAGTCGCCAAGTGCCTCCGCCGCTCGCTGTGCCACACTGCTACTCTTTGTGGAGTCGTATCGACAGGCGGCTCCGGGCAATCCTCGGGGAAACCGACGCGCGCGGCAGCGGATTGGAGGGGAGGAACCCCGGGAGGGGCGAAGGTGTACGAAGTGCACGCCAGGCCGCCCCGCCCCGGAATACTTGCTGCGGCCTCGGGGGGGGGTTGCGTTTTCTGTCGACGCCGAAGTGTTTTTGACGTTTAAAGTGATGTATTTTTTGCCCCGGGGTGTGCGTAGCGCCGCACGGGAGGTCAGCCCAGGAACACACCTTTGCACTCAGGGGGCGGGAAGGTGGATTTTTTTTTGAGGGGGGAATTTGCGTAAACAAACAGGCTAGCCTGGACATCCTCAGTCCAGGAAAACGGCCCCGGGAAGGACACAAACTGTATTTATAACCAGCGATTTGTCGACAAATTTTTCCCGATAGAAAATTTCTTACCTTTTAGGAAAAAAGCATACGCAATGTTGCACAGAGTTTTTCTGCATACGTGTTGCGTTCTTTCTGCCTCAAAGGGATTGCATTTATGCTGTATCGACTGCGGGCGTTCTCTCTCCCCTTTCAATCTTTTTAGCATGAGTCGACGCTCCCTTCATCGCCTGCCTGTATTGGTTCCTGCATGTTCAAAACCCGGAAAATCCTCTGTCAGCATTAACAGTGTTTCTCTTTTTGGTGTTGCCTGTTTCGTGCCGCCAGTCGCACCGAGTGATGGAACAATTAGTTCCTCAATCGGTGAAAATTGTTCTCCAACTGACGTAGTGTCGTTTCAGCCTCTTTTCCCTCGCCACCAACAACCGCCCACGCAAGGCAGTGTCTGCACGACGCTTACTTCAGCGCCCAAACGGTCGTCCCTAAATTGGAGGGGGGGGGTCGCTACACCGGACGGACTTTAATTGCCGCTCGAAGGTGTCTTGATGAGGCGCGTAGATAACCTAAAAGACTTTGCTTTTCCACGCCACGCCCCGCCCCGCCACGCGGGATGAATGAACTGGACTCGCTGAATGCGGCCCGTCATTAACCCAATAGTCTCGCACGGCACAATAAAGCACCGGGGTGGGGCCACCCTGGCCCGCCCTGCCCTGCCTGGCCACCACCGCGTGCTACCGGCAGCGGGCGTGGCGGGGCGTGGCGTGGCGGCGCGCCGGCAGGGGTGTGGGCCGGCGGGGTGGCCGGCGGGGCGGCCGGTGGGGCGGGGCGGGCGGCAGGCGCTCAGTAAGGCCGCGGCCGCCGACCCGAAGCGACGCGCGACGCGCCGGAGCGACGCCCCGCCCGACGGCCCGGCAGCGGCTCGGCGTCGCGCAGCCGCGCAGCGTCTACTTGTTGCACCGCGCTGTTGCGGGTACCGGTGCTACCGCCACCGGCAGCGAGACGAGTGTGTGACGGCAAGCTTGTGACGGGTGCGGCGTGACAAGTGACCAATCCTGGAGTGAGGTGCAAGTGTGACAATGTCGTGGCAGCGAGGCCTGCGACCGGCGCCGCCGCCGCTCAACCCCGAGGACGACGACGACTACTTCCGCGGCTACGGCAGCATGGGCCGGCACTACGGCCAGTACGGGTCCTGGGGCCGGCACCGCACGCCCAACTACCACAACATGACGCAGCGTGACGGTGAGCGCCACACTGTAAATGTCTTACGGTGAAAGGCTGCACCAACAGAATATGGTGGAGATTTTGTCGCGAGGCATGGCGCCTGATGGAAGTAGAAGCCCGCGGGAAGAGTGTGACACCGTCATTTTTACGGCTGGCTGCCTGTGGAAACTGCACCGCCGTGGGCCTGTGGAAACTGCACCGCCCTGGGCTTTCGCCGAAAGCTCCTGGAGGAAAAGTGTCATGAGGCGGGGATAATTCGGCGGGCCTAAGGCGCGTTGTGAAATTAATCCGCTAAAGCCCTTCTAGTGCTTTTCCCTTCCCCCTGTTTTCCACCCCCCCCCCTCTCTGCCATTCTGCCGGAATAATGCGGGCACAGCTGCAGCCGCGTCGCCGTGGGCTGCTGCACTGGGAGAACAAGTGTGTAGGATCCCGCGCAAAGGGTTAAACCTTGTCGTGTTTACGTTTCATAAACAACCCCGGGCGCCGCAGAGGCAAGGCTTTGAATTACGACGGGAACAGTGCTCCATTTGACACAAAGTGTGGTCGAAAGGTCTCACCATGAATCCCTGACCTCGCTTTATTTTATAATTTCGTGAGAATGACTTTTGTTTTGGAAATATATTCTTCGTGAGGTTTTCCCGGTTATTCCCATTGAGTCTAGGGATGTAAGAGCATGTAATATTACCGGTAAAGAATGGTAAATTACGGTAAAATGGGTATTTTACGCAGTCCCCGGTAAAATTAGTATTGTTTGGTAATTTTGAAACTAGTGTTAATTTTGAAATAAGCAGTCCGCAAAGTTTGTCGAAACAGCGGTTTTAAGCTGACTTTGGGCAGCCACTGCGTCTGATCTAAGGCGGCTAATCGCTCTCCCTCAACGGGTGGCTGGTCTTTGGGCCTTCCTTTAGAACACCTTTGTTACGGAGTGCGATTGGCCACCTTAGTTTGGGAGCGGTATCGCAGCAAAGTTTGTCGAAACAGTATCAAATGTGTAGAAATCGTCGTTTGGGCTGACTTTGGGCAGCCACTGCGTCTGATCTAAGGCGGCTAATCGCTCTCCCTCAACGGGTGGCTGGTCTTTGGGCCTTCCTTTAGAACACCTTTGTTACGGAGTGCGATTGGCCACCTTAGTTTGGAAGCGGTAACGCAGCAAAGTTTGTCGAAACAGTATCAAATGTGTAGAAATCGTCGTTTGGGCTGACTTTGGGCAGCCACTGCGTCTGATCTAAGGCGGCGAATCGCTCTCCCTCAACGGGTGGCTGGTCTTTGGGCCTTCCTTTAGAACACCTTTGTTACGGAGTGCGATTGGCCACCTTAGTTTGGGAGCGGTATTGCAGCAAAGTTTGTCAAAACAGTATCAAATGTGTAGAAATCGTCGTTTGGGCTGACTTTGGGCAGCCACTGCGTCTGATCTAAGGCGGCTAATCGCTCTCCCCCAACGGGTGGCTGGTCTTTGGGCCTTCCTTTAGAACACCTTTGTTACGGAGTGCGATTAGCCGCCTTAGTTTTGGAGCTGTATCGCAGCAAAGTGGATCAAAACGATAAAAATTTACTTAACCCAAATGTACCGTATTATACAGTCAAATATCGTATTCTACCGTTATCTACGTATTTTTGAAACTCACCGGTATTTTTTCATCCTTAATTGAGTCCATTCCCGCTACCTTCTGTGTCCTGCGAATAGTACCGCTGGGGCATTGGTGGGTAGTCCTGGCTAGTCCTGGCCCTAGTGTACATTTCCAGCAATCCTGTAAAGTGCTTTGAAGAGCTCACTGGCCGAGGGGTTGGAGACTCGACGCGTGGAACCTCGTTGGCGCCCAGCCAGCGTGTGCGGGTCGAAGCAAGCGAAACACTGGCTCCAGCGCCCCGCGCCAAAATTTAAACATATTGCCCCTGACGGGCCGAAAGGCGTGTCGAGGCGGCGAAGAAACGTCTTCATTATTTCTGAAGTACCGTGTGTACACTGCACAGTGGACCAGAAGACCGGTGGAGGCCAAAATCGCTGGCTGCCTGCGTAGAGGAAGCGCAGGGTTTGTCCTGCCGAGCCATTCAGAAGAACGGTTTGTCGCTCTCTGCCGCCCTTGAGGAAAGCCGTGTGCGAGAGAGACAGCGAGACTCTTCCGAATCTCTCGGCTGGATTGGCGGACCAAGCGAGATGCGCGGCGGTGTAGCGCGCTATATTCGGCCCGCGCCGCGCGCCGCCACCTGCCCAGTAGACTGATGCCGAGAGTCTGTCTGTCTCTCTCGCACTCATGAGGCGTCCCGCACGGGCGCGAGAGAGACAGAGCGACGAAAACGACTCTCGGAAATCAGTCTGCAGCTCTTTGCGTCTTCCCCACTGGGGTTTGGCAAACAGAGGGTGTGGGGCAGGCCGGCACGGGCCTCCAGCGAATGCATTGTGCTGCTCACTTATTAATTAACTTTGTTTTACCTCCGGTAATGTACGCGGTGTACTACACTCTGCATTGTTTCCCGAGTTAAAACTCTGGTGTGTCCGCGGGCGTCGCACAAAGTTCTGGTGGGTGTGCCAGCGAAAGCAGGAGCTTGAATCAGGACAGGTGTTGGCAAATTGGATTCGTCGGTCTGCCTGGAGTTGAGCGTGCTGATCTGAGGGTTGACCAAGCCTTCCGTACAGCCTTCCAGTCGAAGGAGCGAAGTGAGGCGGGGCAGCGTTCGGCCTCGCTGCGAGGCTCAGCCAGGCCTCTACCGGGGTTCTGCCGGGGCCAGGCCGTTCGGAGCGGAGGCTATTTCGGCCTCGGCCAGCCTGGTTCCAAAGTCCGCCGCGCTGCCGCGCGCCACCGGCGAGGCGTCTCCTTTGGCGACCGGCTGACGTGCTGAGCAGCCTTTTCATTATTTTCCCTTTTCATCACGTCTGTTTGAACGTAAACAGTGGCGGCGCGGTGGCGGCCACCAATCTTTATCTGGTCGCCTTTCCCCGGCGCGCGGACGGAGTGGCGGAGGCGGCGAGGAGAATGAAATTTCCGGCGGCGGAGATGCGGGGCGGTGACCGCCTGGCCGGGCGTAGCCGGGGGCGCCCCCTGCCCCGGAGGCTCCGCGCCGCGCCGCCGCGCCCCGCCGTCTGGGATTGGAATCGCTGAAACCGAACCGCCGCGCCGCGCTGAGGGATGGCCATGGCGATAGCGAGTGGTTGGCGCGCGGACCGCAGTCCGGGTCGCCGCGCCGAGAAAAGTGACTTTTACACTACAAATCCAAAGGTCAGACTTCTCGCCACTCCAGAGTCAGTGTCGTCTTCACGGCACAGAACACCAGATGAACTTTTCTCGTAATTTTTGTGCATTAAAAGACCATTCTTGAAGACGACTCATTTGTCAGAGACACCCGAGTTCACATAGGATCTGTGTAAAATAGTTTCTCAGCACCGCTCCGTGTCCACTGCGCTCCATGCTGCCGACTGGCTTGGTACTGTCGGCTCACGGTTGGAGTGTTTAATTCAAAACATCGAGTGCGGGCGCTCGCTTGCACTGCGCTGCCATTTCAACGCTCTGGTTGGCTTTTTTTCGACCCCCGTCGAGGGGTGCGGTGCGGTGCTGCATTTATTTCCATCTCAACGCGTGTTCCGGTCGGACGCGCCACGCCAGACGGCGCAAGCGGCGCGAGTCGCGGCAGTGAGGCTTCCTCCGCGATCCGGCCACCGTAAAACGGGAGTAAAAATGGAAACAAACGGGGAAACGTGTGTAGTGTAGAGGCCGTGCGTGGCGCGCCGGCGGAAGCCAACCGGAAGCAACCGGAAGCGCCACCTTTGATTGGCAGAATAAATTAGCATAGCTAATGCGCCCAGCCGCCCGGAGTTTTCGTACTTGATCGCTTGTTCTGGAATCTGTCAGGTCGGGACGTCGGAGCGGGGTGGCAGCCTCCCCGGAGGCGCGGAGGCTGAGGCTGCGACCCCGGCCCGCCCGGCCCCACCGGATACTGCAAACAAGCCGTTCAAAGGGGGACGCCGTGACCCGCGCTACTCTGTCGTCGACACGAAGCGAAATGATTGAAGAAGGGCGTTTACAGCTGAGAAGCCACTGGGCTGGTTGGAGAACGAGTTTTCTCGATGCCACTCAAGCGATTAGTCGAAACCTTGCAAACAAGTTCAGGCCTTTGCAAAGAACAGTTTGCCCTTAAACGGGGTTAAAAAGAGTTCGGTCGGTGGTGAACTCCCTTTTTCAGTGCCAAGTATTTCGGGCATAAGAATGGGCTCAGTCAAAATACTTCAGCGTGGACGCGGTCGTGAGTCGCCATGTCGTACCTCTTGCAATCAGAGCGGCCCCAGCCGGGTGGGCGGTGGCCTGGCTGCCTGCCTGGCTGCCTCCCTGGCTGTACCAGAGGGAGGCGGTCAGGACGCACAGGCTGACCAGCCGGCCAGGCAGGGCTGGCAGCCAGCATCTCTGTATCCATCCCCCGACCGCACAAATCGAAACGCGAGCAAGCTCCAGGGGTGGCTGTGCAGTGCACAAACCTGCAGCCACCCTGCGACGGCCCTAGCAAGCTCCAGGGGTGGCAGTCGCTGTGCAGTGCACAAGCCTGCAGCCACCCCGCGACGACCCTTCTTGCCATTTTGTTGTTGAGCAGTCTTATCCAGTCGCTGAGAGAATCATTGCTCAGAGTACACACTGTGTTGACCTCGCGGGAAGAGTACAAAACCTCGTCGTTGCTCACTGCACTGGCTTCCAGCTTTTGCATGGTTGCAATGCACGTACGAATCCATCGACAAAAGCATGTGTTGAGCTCAAAACTAAGTAGTGTACAAGTTCGTAGTTGTAACTCCCTTTCACCTAGTTAGCGTTTTTATTTGTCCAACATTTGAAGTTATCTTGTTTGGTTTTCAGCTATTTTGAACGATTACTATTCGTCGCCTCATTTGATGCACCTACGCACCTGTCTGAAAGGTAACCTTGTGCATCAATACGCACAGAGCACGTAATGCACTTGCAGTGGTTTTGGCATGCACTCACCTCGTGTTGCATTGGTGGAACGTAGTTGGATAACGTTTGAGTCACTTGTATTTTTTTTTTCAATCTGCACCCTACCCTGAATGGAACTCGCATAGTCAGCACCTGCACAGAAACACCCATTCTAGAATGTATTCCCTTTTCTTCTGCTTTCTTTTTCTGAGAGCCTCTATTCTGTCTTCGTTTCCGTCACCTTGATTGTCTTACCTGCTTAACCTATTCCCACCACCCCACCCAACCCCTTCCTGGACGATCCAAAGTATTATGCAAACGCTGCGACAGTGTATGACCCCGTTTACTTTCTTGTATGAGCTGAGGGTTGGGCCTTCCTCGGCGCATGCCGCTCCCCAGTAGGGGTCTAAAAGCGTGAAAAATAAAATTTGGAAAAAAAAACATGAAAGAAAACGGTTTTTTGCCGAAAAAAACGGAAATTATTTTTTGGGCTGAAATGGTGCTTAAACGGGTGGCGCGAAGCTAAGGGGGGAGCGTAGTGGCGCGTTAGGTGGCAAAAAAACGGAGCTCACGTTTTTTATTTTTATTGTCATACTGGGTGTTGATATTGACCTAACTAAGCTTGCCAGCATGTAAATAAGCGCAAATAGCAAAAAAACACCAAAAGTACCAAAATTAGGAAAAAAACATATTTTTCCGGAAAAAATGCTAAAATAAAAAGCCGAAAAAAACAGTTTTTTTCCGTTTTTTTATGTTTTTTCCGGCTTTTAGAACCCTACTCCCCAGAGCGTGACGCTTGCGGAGGCCCTGCAGGACCTGGCCATACAGGAGTCCGTGCCGCCAATGGCCATCAACTCCCTGCTGTGCTAGGTCCTTGTACGGCGGCCCTATTCAGCCCTTGACGCCCCAGGGCGCAGGGGCGCGTACCTGCGGTGCCCTGCGGTGCCCTGCCGTGCCCTGCGGTGTAGGGTGGCCAACCTCTCTTTACTCACGGTTGCTCCCTTTGCGTTCGACTGCCACTTGACAGGCGGGCCGCGTGGCACCCCTACCTTTTGCAATCTCAGTGCGATGTTCCCGTTTCGCGCACGTTAGTGGCGAGACCGGCAGCGCGCGCGCGTGTGTGTGTGTATGTGTGTGTTGTCGGTGTGTGTGTTTGTGTGGTGTGTGTGTGGTGTGTGTGTGTGTGTGTGTGTGTGTGTGGTGTGTGTGTGTGTGGTGGATTGGGTATGGGGCAAGGTGTTTTGGTTGGTGTGGTCGCATGGGCCCCATACGTTCTTGCCTCGCGGGAACACTGCGGTCAGGCTGGGCGTCAGGAATTCTACTACCTTCCGCTGTCTACCTCGTTTGGTTTTTCAGTGAGGGCCGGTCGTTACGCAACGGTGTGGACTGCTGGATCTCACGAGAATACGACTGACGAGTCGTCAAAATTTCGGGGACACTCGAGTGAATTTTCCTTTGGACTAAGTCTTAGGTTAGAGCCGAATTCAAAGTCTATATTTTCCCTCGGTTTACACGCACCACACTCAGCGCAGGCCGTGTACGGCACGGGAGCCGCCCCCCCTCACACACACAAACACACACAGGCTCGCACACAGGCCTCTGGCAAAGCCGCTGAGCCCTTTGGGACTCACGCCGCTGCTTTTGATCCGCTGCAGCAGCTGGACATTGGACAATTCGTTTCATTTGGCAGATAGTGACGCGTCGTGGCGCTCGGTGGCGCTGTGGTCCGAGAGCCGCAGGCCTTGCCGCGCGCTGCAGAGCTCACGGTCGGCTTACCAGCCCCTCGCCTGTGCCCTCTGACACTCGCCACCAAAAACTAACACCCAATTAAACTTTCCCGTCAGAGGTGGGTCGTGTAAAAGAACCATTGAAGGTGCACGCTATAAGGGAAGTTGCAAAATTGTGGGTCCTTTGGCTCCTAAAAAAGTAAAAAATATCTCGTTCTAAAATTGTTTTTAGCATTTTTCCTGTATTCTAGGGGTCATTCTAAACGCATTCCGAAGGAGGCCAGTATTTTCTCGCACTTTGATTTTCCCCATACTTTTACATGGGGGAATGGCACGGAAGTTACCGAAATGTGCATGGCACGGAAGTTACATCATCAAACAACCGTGAAAACGGACAACCGGTTCACCAAATCGACCAGGTGTCTCGCCTAAAGTTTAAAAGACGTAAAAGCGCAAAATGGGCCAGGTGGACCGAAATCGATAGGCCGAGTAGCAAGCTCGCAATTGATGACACGGAAGGTTACACATAAACTGACACACATGCCGGATTTTTACCTTTGGTGGTCAAGCTAGCCGGAATGGAGCCCTCCAGCGAAAATCCGCCTACCGCGCTGGAAAGAGGAAACCGTGCTGGTGATTCTGGACGTTGAGCCGAACTTTTCCCCGTACAGGTTCGGCGCTGAGGCGCGAAACTAAAGTTGACGATGTTGGAAACCAGTACACGGTGGACATTTTTTTCATCCAACAAGCAGGAGGTGAGAGTCATGGAATAAATTGCTATCCAAGAATGTCATAAAGTTGCCAACAGAACAAAAGGGCTGTTCGCGGATTTGCTCTCCGACAAATAGTTCAGGAGATTTTCGCCTTGAAACACGGACTTTTTGGACAATGGACAGCACGGAAGTTACATTTTGCCCAGTTTTAGCCTGTTTTGACAGGGAAATGCTGAACTGCATGCTCGGTTAGTGTGTGGGATAGTAGGGGGAGAGAAGTTGAGTCATAGGAATCAAACCGCAGGTCGATACGTCGAAAAATAAGGAAACTGTGGCCCAAAGAAACAAAAAGGACCCACAATTTTGCAACCTCCCATAATATAGAAGTCCATTCTTTCGAAAATAATGATCGAGGAAAGTTGTGAGTGTTTATGTGTTGAGGCCCTGAAATGTTATCATATTCTGGTTAACACGACGCCGCTCGCTGAATCTTAAATTCTTTCCATAGTGTGTCATGCAATAAATTTTCTCCCTCTCGTCCAGGCTGTTGAAATGCAAACTGCGTTTTCGCGAGACGGTCGCTGTTTGTCCAAAGTGGGTGGCTGGTGGCTGCATGGGCTGCTGGGGGTTGAAGGGGTCGAAGGGTCGCAGGGGCGGCGCGACAGGTCAGCAGGAAACGTGACTTTGCTTTCAGCGGGAGTGTCGGTCACTGTTTCTGCCCCGCCACTAGAAATGCCCGAGTCTCAGCGAGGAAATTAGCATCGGCACGTAGGCTGACCTCGGCGCGGAGGGATGAGGCAGATACGTCACTGGATCGAGCAGTCGGCCAGAAGACCGGCGCTGGTCGCCGAAACACCAGACGCGTTTCGAGCTCCAGGGTCGCTAACTGGGACTCGAACCGAACGTGTGACCCCACCAATGGATTGCTGTCGGAACGGGGAATCTATTGGCGGGGTCACACGTTCGGTTCGAGTCCTATTTAGCGACTCTGGAGCTCGAAACTCTTGTCGGGTTTTTGCCGCCTGCACCGGTCTGGGACGCGGCAACGCGCCGAAAGGGAACGTGATCTGTCCCTCTCGCGGCGTGGCGCTGCACTGGCGCCTTGTTTGCCCGACTTGTAGCTCATCCTCATCCAGCTCGGCCTGGCTTTTTGCCTGCCTCCTTTCCCCCGGCCCCCACAGTGGCCCCCACACGTCTTGGAGGGCCCTCTTCCCTCTTCGTTGCGCGGGGCTCTAAAACCGCGCGCCGCGCGCGTGTCTAAAGAACTTTTATGCTGCCTTTCTTTTTGCCCTCATTTTTGAGAGCGGTTTCTCTCCCTTCCTACCCCGGCATGAATAGGAGTACAGGGATAAACTCGATCCGAAATCTTGTCCAGAAAGCCTAGCGTACCGAAAAAAATGTTCCCCAAATCCTGCATTTTTTTCTGTTTTTGTAAGAAAAAGGATCTTAAAATATTTTTTGGTCATACCAGGATTATCGTTCGGATCAAGAGCATTATTTTCTCAGGAAGGCTAAGAAATGCTTTTTCATGTTACAAGATGTCTGTTTCGGTGGTGCATCGGGGTAGAGGGAGGGTCCAGGGATAAACGAGTTGTTGAAAACTAGATATGTTGTGTTCTGTACTCACCCAAATGTTTCCACCTTTCCTTGATTGTGAGCTATCTAGACTTTGTCAGTGGTCATGGTTTATTTGCAACTACTTGTAACCTCTTTGTTTTCTTCCAACCGTTTCTTTTTTTTGCCGACGTTGCTAGCAGTGTGTAACCGATGGCGTCGTTTTGCAGTGACCAAGCTGCGCGAGCACTGGGACGAGACCAACAGCAAGGTGATGTCGCGCAAGACGCAGCTGGACGCCATGCTGGCCGACAGCCAGCGCTACGAGTCGAAGCGTCTCGAGGTGGACGCGTGGCTCCACCGCATGGAGGTGCGCCTGGACCGAATGGGGGCCGTGGGGCACACTGCCGACGTCCTGGAGGCCCAGCTGCGCGACCAGAAGGTAGGGGCAGCCTCACACAGTGGGCCAGAAGACCGGTGGGGGCGGCCAAGACACGTTTTGAGCTCCAGAGTCGCTAAACAGGACTCGAACCGAGCGTGTTACCCCACCGATGGATTCCTCTTTCCGAGAGCAATCTATTGGTGCGGTCTTACGGTTCGGTTCGGTTCGAGTTCCATTTAGCAACAAAAACCTGTCCGGGATTTCGGACCTTGGGACGAAGGCAACCCGACACTTGGTCTACGTCATTTTCTTCCGCCGCCGGGAAGCCTTAAGACTGACGGGCGGACACCTGTATCGCACTGCTTCACACCGCAACCCCTCCCCCGTTTCTTTCTAATATTTCACTTCGTGTTTTAAACCTCTCAGACTCGAGCAGAGCAACTTTTCAGGACCTGCGCTGCGTTATATACCTGTGCATTTTTCGCGCTACTTCCCCTTCTCTGGAGAAAGGGGAGTGGGGGAATTTTAAGGAGTGCGAGTCCATTTCTCCCTGTCTCTCTCTCTCTCTCTCTCTCTCTCTCTCTCTCTCTCTCTCTCGCCACTCGAGCATCCGCTTCCGTCTCCTTTTGCTTTTTATCGTTTCCGGCGCGACCGGGCCGGCAAGCTGGGCGTCGTGCGGTCCTCGCTGGGGTCCTTCCTGGAGGCCCTGGAGGTGCTCGGGCCGCCACCCTCATTCGGCGGGGGGAAAAAACACGAAAAAACCCCGCCCCAATTCATTACCGCGCGGTGTCAAAATTTTAAAAAGCGATTACCTGCGCGTCGTCTGCACTGCGAAAAAAAAAAAAAAACGCTCCGTGTTTCCGTTTCGCGCGAAATTTTTGACGGACAGTCTCGTTTGTGGCTGAACTCTGACGATGCAACCACCGAGTTGTCAAATGCGTGTTTGGTTTAGATCGAGGCAAAGCTCCCTTTTTCCCCAGGCCTTCCACGCCGAGCTCCCCAGTAAACACCACATGGACCTGTTCTCGCAACTCACGCAGAAGCTGATCGCCGTGTACCAGCAGGACGACACCACCGCGTCAAGAAGATGAGGGAGATGGTGAACCAGCGGTACCAGAACCTAAACACCAGGTGGGTTTCGTTTCGCTCCGGCTCGATATGCTAACGGGATTGGCCCCGATCGCAGGGGTGGCCGACGCGGCTGGCGCATCACGACCCACTGACCGGCACCTGCCGCTCGATCTTTGAAGTGAAGCAGGGAATAGCAAGTCCCCCATGCATTCAGATATGGGGAATCTTCGCCAATGAGCCCTTTTCTCCGATGTCAAGCTTTCATGACTACGCTTGAGGGGGATACTACGCTTTAGTTTCACCAGTGATTCAACTAATGGAAACCCCAAACCCCCTTTTTACCCTGCTGCAGCATTGTGAAACCCCGGGAAGATGCTGCAGTCCGCCATGAACTCCTGCACACGTTCGACCGCTCGCTGGACAAGTTCCTCGCGTGGCTGTCCGAGGCCGAGTCGTCCATGGAGGCCATGGAGGCGGACGCGGACCGCATGGCGCAGCGACGCGACGGGCGCGACCAGGGCGGCGCCCTGCAGCACCAGCGGCAGCTCAAGGTAAGTCGGAGCAGCACGTGTTGCGGCAGTGTGCAGGCGCGGCCTACAAACCTTAAAACATTGAGCATGGCTCGGAGCGGTGCGTGGGTTCCACGTTCGACGCCGTGCGCGTTTCGGTCACGATGGCACGGGAGTCTGTCCGTGGCTCAGTCGAGTCTGCCACAGTGCTACCCAATCCGAGAGGGCTTACATGTATCCGACAAGCGGAACCGAACCCACCGAGCGGGGGCGGGGCGGCCGAGGGCGCGGCAGGGCGGGGTAGATGCTGCAATGATAGGACCAGACCGCCTCGTTAGTGTTTCGTTGGGGCGGCGGCGGAGGCGGAGCCCCGGCACTGTCAAAGTTGGGTCATTTAATGACTAAATCGTGGGGACATTTTCCATTTCTTTGGAATGACTCCAATTTCATCGCCATCGTTTTCGTCAGAATCACGATGGCGTAGTGTCTTCTCTCGGAGCACACACGGAAAAAATGGTTCCTGTTTTCCCCGGGAAGCCTAGGGTAAAGGCAGAGGCCATTTCAGGGAGTTCCGGGGGAAACCAGAGCGGTTTTGCAGTGCACATGCATTTAGCAAGGATAGTTCGAAGCCCCGACCGGTGAACGAGGGTTTCAAGCGATTCGGGAAAGTTGCGAGGCAAGTTGCCATTTCCCGTTTGCGCTTTAAACCGCGTCCGAAGCAGCACCATGGGGCGACTTGTCTGTGGGCGTTAGCCAGTGGCGTAGCAGCCCGGCCCGCCGCAGCCGTCGTTCCATAACGCGTCTCCACGCCGCGTCCCGTCCGCCAATTCTTCCAACAAATCGCATTTGGAGGGAGAGAGGGCGGCGCCGGGCGGCGCGGCGTGGGAAAGTTTGAGCCCCCCTCCGGCCCGCCCCTTCGGCCGGGTCCTAATCTCGCCCTTGCACGTTTCGCGCGGGGAAAAGGGGAAAGGAGTGCGAAGCCGAGACTCGGGGGGGCAGCCCTGTGTCTGTGTGGGCTGCCCATAAGTGCGACAGAGACCGGTACTGGGGTCGCTGGGAAAGTCGCGGCGATCGGCAGCAGGGCGAGGACGCGGTTGCCGTAGAGTGCCTCCCTTGGGTTGCGCGCTGTCGCGGTTACCCCACGGGACCGCCGCCCCACCACCCCCCGCCCCGCCCCCCCCCGCTCCACCCCCCCGGGGACGCCTACTGGGGCCCCCTCCCCTTGGGAAAAAAAAGGGAAAACGAATTTGGGGGCGATATTGGGGGTTGGGGTGGGGGGGGGCTGTCCGTGGGCTGGTGGCCTGGGTGGGGGGCGGGGGTGATTTCTTTGGAACGGCGGGCTGTGCCCCCGCGGTCCGGCCGGGGCGAGACGCTTCAGACGGCGGCGGCCTCCCCCCCGGCCCGGCCCCGCCTGGCCCGCGGCCTCGCCGGGGTCCCTGGCCTCGTCCTGGCCTCGTCTTGGCCTCGTCCTGGCCTCGTCTTGGCCTCGCCTGGCCTCGTCCTGGCCTCGCCGGGCCTGTCCCTTGCCTCGTCCTAGCCTCGTCCTGGCCTCGCCGGCCTCGCCCCGGGCCCTCGTCCCGTGTTCCCCGCCGGGGCCAACAGCAGCCCCTTCGTGCCACTTTGGTGCAGCACCCCCGGAGTTCCGTTATTAGAAATATTTGTCAACGCCGCCCCCCCGGGCTGCTCCCCCACCACCCCCCAAACCCGGGGAACCGGGGCGGAATGGAAGGAATCTTGTCGCGAGCGCCTTCATTATTTTGTTTTGCGGAAAAAAAAGCCCCCGTTTTGTCCCTGAAGTGGCTTCCGAACGGACCGGAACGCACCCGAACGGATCGAACGGGCACGAAAAGAACCCCAACAAACCCCAAACGGATCCGAAACGGACCCGACATGGACCCAATGCGGACCCGAACGGACCTGAACGGACCCGAACTTACCGAAATGGACTCCGAACGGACCCGAGCCGTTCCGAATGGCCCTGAAAAGCCGTCGTGATGCATCACGAGAAGTGTTTTTTGGTTGTGCGCCGCGTTGAAGGTGGAACGGAGCTTTTTCCGATAGCGCGGGGTATTGTCGACCTCTTTCGCGCGCTGCGGTTTCAACTTCCAACCGTCCGGGTTTACGCCCCGGTTTTGAGCTAGTGGCAGCAAGACGGGGTGAAAAAGTTTGGATTTATCATGTGCGGCCGGGACCGCTGCCGGAGGAAAGGGGGTTTTTTTAGTGCCCATAGAAGCAACCCCGTTTACCCCCTTTGCCCCGCCGGGCCGTGCCCGGTGCCCCCGGCGTACCCCCCTTTCCCGCCCGGGCCTGTCCCCGTCGATAAAATGATGATTCCGATTGGGGCTTTGCTCTCGGAGGGCGGCAGTGTCCCAGCAGACTCGCTTCCCTCGCCCCGCGGCGCCCGGGGCCAGGACCTGCGGCGGCCAAAATTGGGCGTGTTTTGAGCTCCAGAATCGCTAAACAGGACCAACCGAACGGTGACCCACCAATGGATTTCCTCGTTCGGAGACAATCCAATGGGGTCCCGTCGGTTGAGTCCCATCTAGCGACTCTGGAGCTCAAAACGGTCTAGATTTTGGCCGCCTCCACCGGTCTCCGGCCGCTGTGCGAGGTCATTCCCTGCCGACGCGCCACTGGCGTCACTGTCGGCGGGGCCGTGCTGGCCGTGCGGCTCCTGTTCCTCCTGGTCGAATCCGAAAATGTCTCGCGGTGCTCGTTAAAAATGATCGGCCGTCTCCCTGGAGGCGTGGCGGCCCAGTGTGTCAGCGTGTTTGTCACGTGTCACATCGGGCCCGGTACAGTCCCGTGCATAAGTTAACAGTCGCACACGACGTGACCCGCTGGCGCCGATGGGCGTGTGGCACTTCGGGGCCGCCCGCGCACGGGGCCCCCGTCGGAGTGCAAGTGTATGAGGCGTGCGGGCACACTGCCGAAGCAAAAAAAAGGGGCTTTTAAAGTGTCTCCATAGTTCCTATTCAACTTTCTGTCCGCCAATTTTGTCTTCACCGTATTTTTGTTTTCGAAATGTAGCGACATGAGGTTGGCAGCCCCTCTCGTTGCGTGTCAAGAAGGGTCGCACTGCCGGATGGGTTTAAATAATGCACTTGGCGTGGCCCACCCCATGCCCTCCCTTTTTTTGCCTTTTTCTTTTTCGTTCTCGCTCTGTCTACACGTAGCGGCCACGGCACTTCCAGTGGCGTGCCCCGCCTGACCCGTGTGTGTGTGTTTTGTGTGTGTGGTGCGGGCGGGTGTGTGTGTTTTGTGTGTGTGTTTTGTGTGTGTGCGTGGGGTGTGTGTGTCGGTGCGTGTTCCCGCGCGGCTCGTTCTCGTTCCGACGCCGTTCGCCATAAGTGAAAGGCAAATCTAATGACGTGGCGCTGCCCGCGCCGCCTGCGCCGCGCGGCCGGCCTGGGTGGAAATGACAGCAGCGACGACTGGACAGGTGGGCAGACTGCCCGGCAGGACGGCGTGACAGCCGCGTCGGCGACTCGGCACCGAGCAGCTCGACCCCGCCTGCACTGCACGCCTCGTTCAAAAATACGCCCTTTCCGTCCAATTGTTTGCGATTTTCTTTTTTTTTCGGAGGGTTTTGACGAAGGGGCACCCGTGTTGTTTTCGGTCTGGCGCTTCTTTTTATCGTTCCTTGTTCGGCTTTCAGAAAACGAAAGACCACCAAAGCGCAGCAGTGTTCTTCGATGCTCCCTTTCGCATGCCTTTGCCGCGGTGTGCCATCACAGTGGCACGACGCGGTTCTTCTTTTCGCAGTGCCGGAGTTTCTGCGAGTTCCTCGACGGCTTAAGGTCCTGCCCCCCTCCGGCCCCCCAGGCAGTGCCCCTCCCCCGCCCCGCGGTGCCAGAGTGGCTTCCTCTTGTCTCGCTGCTTCCTGACTGGAATTTTCATTTTCGGCCCAATTTTCCTCTTCTTTCTCTCTTCTGTGTGGCGAGCCAGTCCTGCAGCCGGGATTCTCCGCCCCGCTCCGCCCACTGTCTCGCAGTGTCACGTGCTTATTGCACTGGCCGGGGAAGGTACAGGCAAGTGCGCAATTGTCGCAAATTTCGCGCACGCCTCTGTGAAGGTGTGGTGTGTGTGCGCACGGTGTGTGTGTAGGGGAGGGGGAGTATTTTTTCTCTCTACTGGTGGACTAAAACAGAAGTTGCTTCACCGAAAGACCGCATTCTGAAAACCTTACAAACTATTTAAGCCTTACGAGTAAAGTAGCTTGATATAACAAAGTATTTTGAGCATACGTAAGTTTTCAAAGAAAATAATTCGTAATTTACGAGCTATTTTCTTCGTATGACAAACTGTAGTTTGTACTACGTAATCGCACAACTCTTCGTAAGGTTTTAGGCGTGCGTTTCCTAGCAGAGTCTGGTGTGAAATGTATTTCATTGACCGCGCCAGAGGGATGAGAGCAGTGTTGTGTTGATTTAAGTTGCTAATCCAAAGCTCTCTGCATCCGGATTGTGACGGCCCCACGCGCGGCGTTCCGTCCGATCTCTGTCAAAACTCGTGTTGACGGGTTTGTGCGCTGATCAAACTATCCCCCCCCCACCTCCCCTTTCTGCAGAGAGTTGAGGGTTGGGCCGGTCGGCACACTGTCCAGCGGGGACTCGAGGGGGTGGGCCGTGTTCCTGATGGTCATGATGGCCCCCGTGATGGCTGTGGGGGTTCTTTGACAGGCCCTCGCTCGCTGTCCCTGGCCTGCCTGCACTCTACCAAAATGTCCTGTAAATGCCGTTAATTTATTACCAGTTTTCACTGTAGGTCAATTCACAGCGTTTACTGTGATCTGCTCACGGGATTCACTGTGATCTTGTTCGCGGTGTTCACTGTGATCTGGTCCCCAGTAAACACTGTGAGTTTGACGCCGCTAAGCACCCAAGTGCTGCAAATCAGGCTCCAATTCACGGCGTTTACTGTGGCCAGATCACAGTGAACACTGTAACCGAGATCACAGTGAACGCCGTGAACTAGTTCACAGCAAAAGCCGTGAATTGCATAACAGCAACTTGGTAATAAATTAACGGCGTTGACAGGACATTTTTTGTAGAGTGTGCTCCCCCCCCTCCTCCCACCGCGACACCTCCATTCCCTCTGCACCCCCTCACTCATCTGCCTTCCTTTTCTCTCCGCATTCCTGTCACTTTGCCCCCGTGCCTCGCCCAGCTTGCATCACCTCACACCCTTCCCCCTCGCCTTATACACTCTGGAAAATGATGACTTCTTGGCTCAAGTGAAAACATCCCTTCAGCGGCCGTTGGGCATAAGGGCGTAAGTCGTATGGGAAACCCGTTGAAAATAGGTTGTTCTGTCCGACGACAACTCATGTGTTTTGAGGGGAAATATTTTTGATCCACACTTTATTTTCTTTGTTTTTGCAAAAGAAAAACAGCTACTTATTGTATTAAATGAAACAAACAAGGAAAAACATGAACCTTTGTTTCCGGGGTGCATCTGCACCCCTGTACACCCAATCCCATGTCTCTCTTTGCACCCCATTCTCGCATGGCAATCACTCCCTGCCATCTTCACCTCTTCTTTTGCACCCCCTGGCGTCCTTCCCACGCTGTCCTTTCCACCCTTTCTTCCCTCCGTCTCTTGTACACCTCTTCCACAACCCCACCTTTGCACACCGCCTCCCACTCCCCTCTTCCCCCTTCCCCGTTCGGAGGAGCCGCCCTCCAAATTTCCGAGCCCCTGTCCGGGCTCTGGCCGGGCCGGCATGCCTTCGATCTGGGATATTAGACGTGATGCGCGCCTCAATGGAGTCCGCGAGCG